ATTTTATTTTTCTTCTATTTTAAAATTTTCTTTCATCTTCTATTAGGAATTATTTCAATTGATTGCATCAATTTTTCAACTTATTCTTCCTGTTGGTAAACTTAATTATACACCAATTATAAATACTATTGAACAACGAACAGATGAATTAATTCATGTATGTAGAATAAATATTTTAATTGAAATTTTTTTCTTTTTAAAAATTTTTTGTTGAATATATTAGGCTTGGGATATTCATGAAAATGGTTTCATATGTAAAGAAGATTTTATTCAATATTGTTTACAGGTTTGTTTATTTGTGTAATTCTGTTTTTTTTTTTCGTAAACAAATAGGAAAAGATAAAGAAATATGGAAGTTCGTTTAAATTATGAGTCAGTCAATTAGAAATTATATGGGAAGTACAATAATAAAAAGTTGCTTTGTGACATTGTGACATTGTCCTTAGTATAGAAAACAATAATCTGCAATCATGCAAAAATTATTTCTTCCAGAGAATGGCGTTCTATTTAATCAAGAAAATTATTAGGAATTAGTTTTTGATTGCATATATATCAATTTGAATGTCAAGATAAATTTCTATTGGTTTCTCTAAGAGTAATAAAGATGTAAGGAAACGTTAAAAATAATTATTTAATTTCATATTTTCATTTATCAATAAATAAGATTAAATAAAAAGAACCGGAGTAGAATAAATCAATCTTCATACTGATAAAACGATTCATTAATTGTCATACTGAAAATCAAAAGAGAACAAAATTAATGTCGACTTGTAACCTTGAATGATAAATCAATTTAAATATTAACTACATATATGATAATAGTTTTTTATCTTTTGAACCTAATAATATAATAATGAATAAATGTTACCATTGACTCGAATCTCGATTAGTACAATCTAGGGAGATCTGAAAAGAACGAGGACGTATAAAACAACAAATCTGCACATTACTGTGATTATTAAAATTTATGTATGATTGAATGCAGAATTTTACACTGGATCGGTCATTTGGTAATAATTTCAGATTGATTCGATAATCTCTAGAGTAATTAAGGTCAACAAATAGTAACCTTAGTTCCTTATCGTCGAAAATGTCATTGATACCCTCAGCTAACTTCCTAATAACTTTGTACAATAATAATGCTGTCATTTCAAATTGAATATCATTAGATAGAGCGTTTAATTCTGCATCAATTTCTACAGGAACAAAAATCTATTGAAACAATTTATCAGTACCTTGTATCTGTTATTTCACTGCCGATCAGTGATATGTTAGTAGAAAAATCCGGTATTGCTCATTAACTTCTCGAATGATGGAGATTTATAAGGATGTGTTGAAGTAACTCTTTATATATTACTCGACAGTACTTTTCGAACTCAATGGATACTAACCACTAGAGAAATCTTAAGCAAATTATTCACTAGACATGATTTTGTGCCTTTTTAAACATGTATTTAGCAGATGTTTAGTTATAAAGTTACCCTTAGAGCTAAAATTAATAACAAATTTGAAATTATCGTCAAAAACTGAATCGACTTATATCTATTTCAAATGTTTTCGCGGACATTTTTTTTTTCGTCAAATAATTCCACCGAGATCCAGTAAAAAAAGAAATGAATTCCACTAAAATATTGTTTGAACAGTAGAGATTGAAATCAAAGCTTATGACATTTTATTAGAATTTAAAATAAGAGACGACTAAACAGCAAAAGAAGCAGTTTAATAGAATTCATTTTTTTTATTGGACCTATCTCGGGTAAACTTTTCGACGAAAAAAATGTTCGCGAAAACATTTGAAATAGATATAAGTCGATTCAGTTTTTGACGATAATTTCAAATTTGTTATTGATTTTTGGTCCTATGACAACTCTCTGACTAAAAGTCTGCTAGATACATGTTTAGAAAGACACAAAATCATGCTTAGCGAATAATATGCTTAAGATTTCTCTAGTGGTTAGTATCAATTGAGTTTGAAAAGTACTGTCGAGTAGTATATAAAGAGTTACTTCAACACATCCTTATGAATCTCCATCATTCGAGAAGTCAATGAGTAATACTGGATTTTTCTGCTAACATACCACTGATCGACAGTGAAGTAACAGATACAAGGTACTGATAAATTGTTTTAATAGATTTTTGTTCTTGTAGAAATTGATGCAGAATTGAATGCTCTATCTAATGAAATCCATTTGGAATGACAGCAATACTGTTGTAATTACAAAGTTATCTCACGATATCGGTGACACTTTCGACGATAAGGAACTAAGGTTACAAATAAATGATTGATGCTGAATATTTTAATATACAACTGAAGTTCAGTTTAAAAAGATTCGGTCAATTGTGACAAGATAGTTGTCTCTGAATACTCTGTACTAGCACGATATTATTTCTATAAGATTTTCAATCAGTAGAAAGTTTTTTCATGAGATTTACAAACAATAATATTCTATTACAGAAAAAACTTCTGTAAATATTTTAGCTCCATTCATTAAATTATTACTGAGTTATTTGTTTCGATGAGCAAAAGATAAATATTTCCTTTTCCTGAATATGCACAAAAATACTGACCGGAATTCTGGAAAGGATTAATAAATTCCAATTAAGATTAATACGTTATATATACCTGAAATAAACTATTACAAAAAATGAAGAATCAATTGATCTTCATAGTGTTTCATTTTTAAAGTTCTAAAATTCAAAGAGTATCAGACATTTTCTATAACGATTCATCATAATTTTCGTTATACTTAAGCAGTGACGATGAGCTCATGTGTCTTACTTACATTTTTGGTGGAATATATGCCAGACAAACTTTCAGTATGTCTAGTAGTCAAGATTCGGATGAATAGAGACTTTTGTTAATTGCTTTACATAATTTAGAGTTTACACTTTTTGAAAAGAAAAGATGCAAGAATTTTTAAGCAATTATCCAATAAATAACTTACTGTGTCTTATTCAACTCTTTAATTTTCACGTAGTTTAATGACTCTTAATGATCCGTTTCCTTTTTGGGATTTCTAAGGAATGACTCATCAGAAAAATGTGAAATTTTTAGAGAAGGTTAATCTTGGCCATTAGAATAAAAAACTGTCATAGACTGTCTTCTATAAGATACTGGGGACACAATAGTGAAGATGCCCTCGTCCCCTCGTTTCTCCAAGATGTTACGTTCGATCGAGTTGAAAATTTTTCTACAGGCACTAGACACTATTTAGAATGTGTATCTTTTTATTTTTTTGTTCTTCGAATAAAAAATTGTAGAATGCAATAGATGCGATCGTTTATAGTACTATGTAAAAAGAGATGCAAATCGAATGTTTGGTAGAACAAGTCTCGTTCTACAAAATGGTGTATAAAGAGACTTTCTTATAGTTTGGATCGAGGCAGTTTTGATCAGAATATAAAACTAAACTAGATGCAAAATTCTGTACAGATGTCATTTTTTCACTATCGTTGATTATTTTTGAGTTTCTCCAGTGACTTATGGTGAATATGTTGTAGGTCTTTCTTTCATATATATATATAAGAATATCTAATTAAAACTAAACTAAGATAAGTCTATGAAAATATATTTTATAAAAATATTATACGATTATGAGGAATTAAGATTATAGATAACAGCAAATTCGATTCTTCGATTTCATATAGACACATGTATCAATGACTAATATGAGTATACGTTCTTAGAGACTATCTTAGTTATCTTATCTGTTCTATTGTACACAAGAGTAAAGAGTCGAGTATCGTTGAAATGTTTAGATAAAATCTTATGTCAATAAAATAAAACTTATTCTATAGAAAATTCTTCTTTGATTATTAATCTCATTATTCTTGATTATTGTTTGAATTAACTATTCGATTTATAATATAAATGAATGAAGATTTTTTTTTTCTATAACATAATCTATAAGAAATCTTTTTCTTGTTCCTTGATGTTGAGAGAAATGATATTTCATTTTTCTGGTTAATAATTTTATGTAAATCAGTTGAAATATTTCATAAATTATTGAAAAAAAAATTGATTGAATAATTTAATAAATCTCATGATAAAATTGAATACATTGAAAATTCTTGTTTTTTTTATTTTAGAATGAAACAATTATGCGCTCCATGAATAAGCTTAAATCAGGCATATGTTTATAATCATCATTTATTTTTTCTTTTCTTCTTATGTTCAAAAACAAAAAAAACCAAACACGCACGCACACACACACAAAAATATTTGTATACACACAAGTGACAATACACATGGTGTTCACAATAATAATAAAAAAAAACAAAACAAAAGGCCAGGCTCTGTTTAGTGCGAGATCGTATTTAAAAAGAAAAGAAAAAAAAAAGAAGATTTTACTGGATTATCCCTGAGAGAGAAGCCTAAATAGCATAGAAACTGCATAGGATATATCTCGATACTTTAGCATGAGTCCTAATTCGAGTAAAATGTGTTGTTTTTAAAGATAATAAAATCAATATTTATATATATATGTATATTAAATATGTAACTCCTTATTTCTTTTATCGAAAAGAAAAAAAAAAAACACAACAAATATCGTGAATTCGCCAAACATCTGCCTGTTTTGTAGAGTCGTCGATCAATTGGTCGGTCAAAAAAAAAACGAAAAAAAGAAAGCAAACAACTATTAAAATTTAAAAGAATAATGCAAAGTAGCAGAAAAAAGCCAAAAAAAGAAAAAAAAATTGAAAAAAAATGGCACAACTCTCTGATCGATAGATAGATTAGAAAGAAGGATGTAAAGAGATAGTACGTGTCACTGTTTTCTCCATATGGCCATTATACCTTTTCTTACGAACACTGTTATTCAAGAGTGACTGAGAGAGAAAAAAAAACGAAATTGATGTTTGAAACAACAAATAAAAAAAAACTGTACAAATATCCCTTTAAACAAGCATGAATAAAGAGAACTAGAGAATAATGTCGGACCTGAGTGATAAAAGAAAAAAAAAAGAAACACACGTGTGTATAATGATTAAATAGTAAATTAATTATTCGATTGTAAACCATTGAGCATTTCGCCAAGTAAACAACCATCAAGAAGTTTTCCATCATGTTTACGATCAATTAATTGTAAAAATTTCTTTAAATCATTTCCAATCAGACGCACATCGGGTAATTTTAATAAAATACAAGCAAATTTTTCTTGTTCATTTGTTGGTGCTTGTTGTTGTTGTGATGGAGACCGATTTGTTGAATTTGATATGGATGGATTGTTATGATCTGTTGTATATTCACCTAAAGCATTTGTAATTTTCTCTTGAACTTCTTCGATTAAACTCGATTCAGTTACACCTTGAACATCTAAATATAGAAAAAGAAAAACCCGATTTTTCCGTTATTCAACATCATTCATTTTATAGAAGATAAGAATTTTCTTTATTCAGCTAAGAAACAATCCTAAGTCTATCTCTACGAAATTCTTCAAGATTTTTATTATTAATTATTCAGTTTTATTTCATTTAGTTGCTTACTAGACCTATCACAGTTCCCGATCGAAGAATTAACCTGGTGTCAATCACTCAGTTCTTTTGAAAAGAACTGAATATTGCGAACAGGTCTTTTTAAAACAACCAGATGTTATAATAAGTTTTTTTTTTTTTGATAACTAAAGCAAATACTAAATAGAATCGCTAGATCTCCATTATTGATAAAAACAAGTACATTTGAAATAAACCGGTCACTAGACTCAGTTCTCAATGAAAGAACCAGTTCTTAGAACTGTCAGCTGCCATAGATCTATTGCTTATAGAATTTGACAATTTGATTTTAACGAACTAAAATAAAAGCTTAAGTTTCCGTCGACATCCTATACAACTGACAACGTTCTATTACCAAAGAATAATTAAGGCTGCACCGATGGCAACTATTTCGACCTCCGGAAACATTCATAGAAAACGTCGTACTGCTGCATTAACTTCCACTGTAATCCCTGGAGACGTTTTACAGGTCATTTTTGCTATTTCCATTGTTTTATGAGATTACAGAAAAATGAAAACAACGCAATAGTGCTATTTTCTTGAACCTGAGTATTCATAATTTGTTTTACAAAAAATTCTTAGGATCAATGATCAAGTCTATAGTTTTTTTAATAAATATGATGATTCGTTTATTATTATTAAACAACTATTGATGCGAAGAAAACACGAAATAAATTAGTATGACAACTCAGAAATCTTGCTCGTCGCCAAGAAGACTTTCATCAATGGTCACAGAAATAGTATAAATGTAGCGTCTATGTGCCAAATGTTACGAAAATGTTTTTTAATGGATTATTTCCTGTAGAACTCTTGTTTTCAAACGAAACTATACTTTTAAATTTTGACCTGAAACTCTTCCTACATAAAGGCACTAATTAGACTAGTCATGATTATTGTAAAATAACATAGATATTTCGAAAAAGTTTTATATCTTGGAGATATTTGATCAAAAAATTCTAAAATTTTTTTCTACAAATTAGTCTAATCCATGCCTTAATGTGAGCCAAATTTCAGATCAAAATTCAAAAGTATGATTTCGCTTAAAAACTGACAGCTTACAGGAAAAACCAACTAAACATACGAAATCTTGCCAATAAAGACTCAGCAGCTCAAATTACTCTAAGGTATTTACCTACTTATACTAGGTCCTATCGATTGAATCTAGTCACAGCTCGAAACTCTTTATTGTGGATTTTTCGGAAATGCCTTGCTCTAAGTAGAAATCTCATTCAAACGATCATAACTCTTTATAAGTAGACCATAGGACCTAAATTCTTTTAAGATTGTCTTAGTCTCACCGAAACCTACTCGTAACCTTAATATGACGCGAAATAGCGTCCGATAATTAGGTGTGTTCCCTTGTAAGTAAATGTTCTAGATCTTCAAGACATTCATTGTCTAAGTTATTTTACTAACAAAAACTCTCATAGTGTGTCATGATGATAGTTTAAAAAAGAATTCGAATTTTATTTCTACCTGGATCGAAGAGTACAAGATATTTGAGTGCAAGATATTCTGGATACTAGAATAAAAATAAATATTATTAGGCTATATACAAAATATTTATTACAAGTAATACATACTTGCCACTGTAGTTGACGAAAATCATTAACACATTGTAAATATCTTTCAGCTAATTTTTTAACAGCTGGATTTTGTATTAAATTTATATTTAATAATTGTCCATTAGCCTAATTTAATATATGTGAAAATTAGAAAAAACTAAAATTCAAAATTATAATTTAATACATACACTAACAATACAATTTAAACAAGTTTCTTTTGGTTGTTGACATTGTTTCCATATAAGATCAATAATTAATATTTCAATCCATGCTGCTTTTAATAATTTTATCTGATTATCAATCTTAAAAGAAAAATATATATATATATATATAAAGTCCTTAGTAAAATAAAGAAGATTTCTTAACTTACTTGAATATCTTTAAAATAAAGGGACTGTCGAGCCTATATATAAAAAAGAAAATATTTTTGAAACAAAAATTTTTTTTTTGATTAAATTTTCAATATACCCAATCAACCATAAGAAAACATAATTTATCCAATAATGAACATACAACTAATATATCACCATCATCACGTGTTAAATCAATATGAATCTGTTGAATATCTTCAATATATCGTACTTCAGTACACTAAAAAAAAAACAAAATCAAAACTCGTTTAAAAACCACATAAAAATATAATTTTTTTTTCCTCATACTCGATAAGCTTGATCAGATTCAATAAGTTTTGTTAATGTTTCAGGTATATTATTTGTATCGTTCATATCATAATTTGGTGCTAAATATTGATTATTATAAAAATAAACAGATGATATACCATTATTTGTATCTGTATGCATTGAATCATTTGTAGCCATTGAATGTTGTTGCATAGTTAATGTACTTAATATTGAAGATGTATTTAATGTTGAATTAGTTGTATTTACTGTTGTTGTTGTACCTGTTGTTGATGGTGATGATATTTGATAATCAAGTAATTTTGATGATATTTGACCAACAGGTGATGAACTTGAATTTGATGAACCTGATGGTGGATTACTGTTGCTATTCGATGGTAAAAGTAAAGATGGTGGTGAATGTCCATAGGCAGTTGATGATGCTGAAGAATTTTTATAATATGTATCAAATGGATTTAATTGAAATGGTTGTTGTAAACGTGTATTATTTGTAATTGAAGAATTTGGATTAAAAAAATCCGGATAAACACCAGGAAATGATGAAGATTTTTGTGGTTGATAATGATGTGGATGATGTGGATGTGTATTTGGATGATGTGAATGTGCTGGATGATTTATATTTGTTGTTGTTTGTAAACTTGTATACATATGTTGAAATGGATGAAGATTTGGTTGTTCAGGTTCAGTTTTAACTTGTAAATTATTACCAGTTATATCTAATGATGTTTGTCCATTATCAATACCATTACCATTTGGTATCATATTTTGTTGTGCTTTAACCATACTAACAAAATGTTGTCTCATTATTTGTTGACGTAATGCACGACTACGCCGATATAATGGACCAAATTTGTTTCGTCCACCTCGTACTCGATTTTCACGAACAGCTTCTAATTTCATACCAACTTGTAAACATTTTTTAAAACGACAAAAAGCACAACGTTTTCGTTGAGTTTTATCTATTTGACATTGTTGCTTATCAATACATTGATAATTCTTTTTATTTTGTACTGTTCGTTTGAAAAATCCTAATTTTTACAAAAGAAATATATATATTTTTTCTTTTTCGTCTTTTTCTTTTTTTTTTAATCTATAAATTTCAATACCTTTACATGATTCACATGTCAAAAGACCATAATGAAATCCACTGACTTTATCACCACATACAGGACATAAATCATTGAAACCAAATTTTACATCGAGCCCAACGTCCGGCGATGGAACGTCCAGGACGCCTGGACCTAAGAGAATAAATAAATAAATAAATAAATAAATTTCTTTTTCTTTTCTTTTTTTTTGAAGTAAATTAACTTGGATTTATTTTGTATAATACTATCAGTTTTCTAAATCAACATGCATAAACGTACGCATACACACGAGGGTTTTCGTATGTGATTATTGAAGATTTCTTATTCTTTTTTTTTCCTCTTTTCTTTTCTTTCTTTTCCTTCTCTGATGGTTAAAACTACTAGTAGTTAATTAAACGGCAGACACATAATGAATCGTTGCTTTTATGACACGCGTTTGTGCATATTCATTCAAAATAAAAGATAGATGAGGTAGAATAACTAAACATCAGTTAAAAGTTGCGTAAATCACTAAAGTCAACAGCTGTGCGCACACATGAATGAATATAAATTTTGTACGAAATAGGAATAAAAAAAAAAAGAAAAAAAAGAAAAGAATGCTTTTGTTATAAATATAACGACGGTGATGGCGGCGACATGAGAGTTCACACGCACGCCGAGACCGGACGTGGCCGCTTTCGACGCGCGTTTTTTTTTTGACCTTTTTTTCTTCTTGTTCTGTGCACCCGCCACTACCACTACTAATAGTACTACAATAACTACAACTACAACTACTTCCCAACACATCCTTGTACTACAACAAGTCGATGATGAGGAGGGACGTGGGAACAGAAAAAGACGCAACATCATTACTATTTCTGTTTTACGTCCGTATACAAACGCTTTCTCTCTCTCTCTCTCTCTCTCTGTTCGTCGTAAAGACGTAACACGAACGTATACATTATGAACATCCCTTTTTCTCCACCTTCATCCCAACAGTCCTTTGATGATGATGATGATGACGATGATGATGATTGAAATTCGAGCGAATTGTGCATGATGGCCTTGCGCAACATCGTTAATCGTTTGGACAAACAAAGCACCGTGCACTTCTCGATATATATGTGTGTGTCGCGTACGAGCACATACTCGCATTCATTAACAATTTTTACATTTGAACAAGTCGAGTCAAGTCTCGGTCCGGACCCAAGCTCGGTTAATGACAAGGACATATAGTCACTTAAACGGGAATGTGATCACAAGGACATTATGCTCATCAACAATCATACGACAGTGTGTATGTGAACACCTGATGATGATGATGATAATGATGATATAAAAAAAAATGACGCAGTTCTTTTTTTTTTTTTTGATGACAAAAGTACCAAAGAAAAGCGGCAGATACGAAGAGCTTTTAAAAGAAGAAGAAAAAAGCAGAAGAAGAAGAAGTTTAAACTAAAAACTTACCCATCCGGGGGGCGAACTGTGAGGCAGTGATTTTTGGTTGTTGTTATTGGGGTCAAATGTAATAGTTAAAAATCAGCGTGTACTCGCGGTTTTTTCTCCTTTCTTGTTCTCGATTTTCTCGTACTCAGTTAGTGGTCGTTGTCGAAGGATAAATGCTGCGTAACATTTGTGCGCTATGCTCAGCGCATCCAATTTTTCCTCCGTGATAGTGCGGCGTTGCTGGTTCTACTCGTCCAACGACACCAACGCAGCATATGTATTGTAGTACGTGTACGTGTGCCGGTTATGATGGTAGTCGACGTTGTCAGTAGTAGAGTGCGTTGCGCGAACGATTTTGCTTATTCTTTTTTTTTTCTTTCTTCTTTACACCATTGCCGTCGCGCCACTATCGACCGGCTTTTTTCTCTCCTTTTTTTTTCTCTTTTCTTTTTCTTTCTTTCTTTCTCTTTTTCTTCTTTTTTTTTTGCGTGTATATATGTGTGTGCAATAATGCCCATGAACTGATGACCATGTACATATTGCAGCAGTTACAGCAGTGCAGATGAGAGAGAGAGAGAGAGAAAGATCGAAAGAACGCAATGCGCACAACTATCACCATTGTTTCGCCGCCTTCTTTTATTTCTTTCTTCTTTCCTTTTTTTTTTCTTTTTCTTTTTCTTTTGCACTCTATCCCTCTCTTTATGTATGTACACATATATGTTCACCATAAGACGACGTCGTCGAAAAGAAAAAGATGAGCTACTTGCACATACGCAAGTTAGTAAATGCGCGCGCACTTTGCGTCAACGTCGTCACCGTCAAAAAAGCAATTACAGCTCGCTCAGAAGAAAGAGAAAGCTATTTTCTCGTTTTGCCTGTATATGTATATATATATGCAATGATGTGATAGTTACATCGATGCTTTGCCTTTTGCTACTATTTGCTTGTGAACAAATCAACATTTTGCATTATTTCTTTCTTTTTTCTCTCTCTCTCTCTCTCTTTCTGCCTCTTTTTCTTTCTCTTTATATGTACATATAGAATATATATAAAAAAAAAAAAAAGAAACTCGATTGATTTTGTTGCAATCAATGAATGATCAACATTGATATGGTCATGTACTATTTGCTTTCATGTACAAATTTTAGTTTCTTTTTTTTCTTTTTGTTTCTTTTTCTCCTTCTTTTTAGTTTTCTTTTATCATAACAATGACCGAAAGCATCTAGGTCATTTCATTTGTTCTTTCTTGTCGTCTGGCTGACCATCAACTAAGCAATATAGTCTGTCGCCAATGTGATTGGAAGACAAAGCAATTGATGTAAATTTGATCGGTCAGTCACTATATTGTTTAGTGACCAGACGATTGTTCGTTTGCAAATGTGTATAACCTTATTCATGAAGGGCATGTATATATACATATACATAAATATATGTGGTCAGACATACTCAATAAAATAGTTAAGTAAAATGCTCACGACATACATGTGCATTGATTGCTCGATCAATAGGAAGAGATTAATTGATACAAAATTATCTAACACACACACACCAGCACACATGTTTAGAGGCATAGAAGAACAGACAATAACGAATATATGTTGGCATTGACCATCCTAAAGATGATCTCCATTCATACAGTTTACATAATCGCACATACTCGTTACTTAACGAGCTCCTAAATCTTACCATTTTTCTCGATAGATTTCTTTTGTCTTGTTTGTTCTGTTGTCGTTGGATCATCAATGCTTAAATGCGTTGAATCATTGTCAACATCATCATTATTATTATTATTATTATCATTTTCATTCTCTTCTTTATCTTCGTCATTTTCATTGTTATTATCATCAACATCAAGAAGATCATCAAGAGATTGAGGTGTTTTCATTATAAGAATATTATTATCAATCATCATTGAAGAATTTTTATCATCAATAGTTTCTTCAAGTTCATCATTATTTGAATCTGGAGAATCAATTTTTCGTGTAGACTTTGATCGGAAATAATTCTTTCGTTTTATTTCAAATTTACTCATTTTGTCAAAAATAACATTACCAATAAATAATTATATGTCTAAAAAAAAAGAAAGAAACACGAAACAAGACATAATCTATTGATTTTGACAGAAAATAAATAATTGTACTTTTATAAAAGATCAAGATAATTTTAATAAATTTTAACAATAAAATATTATAATATTTTCAACCATAATTTGTATTGATAATTAATACATATTTATATGGTCATTAAAAATGGTCTAAAATAAGAAGAAGAAGAAGAATTGATCGTCAAGGTCAGTTAAATACATATATACATGAATAAGATCGACAATGGTAAAAAAGACCTTGACAAAAGAAAAAGACCTTCGAATAACTGAAATGAATGACAATACAAGGTGACGATAAGTAATATTATAAGATAGTTTTTACCTAAAAGATAATTATCATTACCTTAAATATGAATAATTTATATAGATTTAATACTGAAATAAAAGAATATAAATAAACAAAAAAATGCACTATAAGAAAAATTTTGTTGATTGGCTCGAAAATAATTAACCAATAGGAATATTAGCTATAACCCCCTGTCGCTAGTAGATTTAATAAATACTTATTTTTAATTATTAATCGAAAAGTATGAATATTTCGTAAGTTTTGTTTTTAAGTATCGAAGGATTAATAATCATTATGACTATTTATAGTGATGTCATGCTTACATTATATTTAATATATGCGCGGATGTGTATTTTTACTACAGAAAGTTTTGATGTAACCAAGAACCATTTGACTAAAAAAAATCCTATGATATAATCCAATAGACAAGCTGAACAAATTTAAATATCTCAATGAATTATTGTCATACAATTCTAGGTTTGAAACTTTAAAAGTATTTTTATACATTGTTAATCCAATTGAGTCATTCAAAATTTAACAATTTTAATCTTTGACACTTTCATATTTATTGGATGTATTTAATTTCATACAAACATTTGAAAATGAAAATTCGATAAGTCTTAACGAAATTTAAAAACAAAATAAACAATTTCATTTCAATATACAATTCAATAGTGTAGATGATTCAATGTAAAAAATATTTTACGAATTCAATAGACTCTGTATGGAAAATTGAGTTAACTATTTCCAGTACATCATAATTTAGCTTGATATGAATTATATGTCATACAAACTGACATTTTGAAATATGTCAGTACTTTCTAATGGTACAGTTTTAGTTAGTAGATATAATTATAAGAAATATTTTTATGGTACTCTATCGAACATATGTTTTCGAAGACAATATGTCAATCAAAATCAAGATAGAAGAAGAAATAATTCTTTTATGACATTTCTAATAACAACAGGTGTATGAGATTTATTATTTAGAGAATGAGAAGTATTAGTTGAAAATATAATAATCCAATGAATAAAAACTAAACAAAAGCAAAGACTAAAAATTATACTTTATAACTAAAAAAAAGCTGAATTGTAAATTTTGTTTCTATTATGATAGATTTATAATTCATCATTTGTTTGAAATTCACTTATTAATAGAAGTCTTCATCTATTAAATTATCATATCTGTTAAAAGAAATAGTATAACATCAATGTATATTTGAGATTATATGTTTAATCTATTATTTCAAATGAATATATTAAATTGAATAAAGAAATTAATTTAAGATTTTTTGGAAATTTTAAGTGTGAATGTCGAAGAAGATATTTTATTTCCCTAAATAATTATTGACGAGAAAAAGAATGAAACTATGATAGAACATATTCGTAGATCAATTGAATAATGAGCAAAAACAAAAAGAAATATTGCTAATCGAAAATTATGTGTTAGATTAATGATTTAGTTTTAATTTTATTGAAATATAGATTGATAATAAAGTATATGTCGATGATTTACGATAAGTAGTATGTATTGATTTGTATGAGTGTTACAACATTATGACTTTGTATTCTATTTCTAAATATCTTGATTGGATAAAAATCTATTGAATTAGTCGAGTTTCATGAATATTCTTAAATTCTGAATGTGTTGTTATTGTAATCATTGTCGATCAAATCTTTCTTCAACATTCTATTCTATATTACATAATCGTCAAGATTCTCTTATTACAAACATATAGAAACAACGCGATGAATTCATCAATTATCTTCTAGCAGAAAAAGTAATCATCCAAGAAATTGAGATATACAAATATCGTATGAAAATGCTATTAATATCGATCGAGTTTTTTTACTAATAACTTT